GAGGAGAAAGAGAAAGAGGAGGAGGATAACCTTTTTCGGGGGGGAACTTTTGCGCAGCGCGCCGCCCTCCGCTGGCCCGCGCCTCGCTCTCGCGGCTCTCGCGCAGCAGGCGCGCCTCCTCCGCGGCGTGGGCGGCCGCGCGCTGGCTGACCAGGGCCTCGCTCTCCCGGCTCTCGCGGAGCAGGCGCGCCTCCTTGGGGGGGACGTCCTCCTCCTCCTCCTCCTCCTCCTGCTCATGCTCCTGCTCCCCCTCCTCCTCCTCATCCTCTTCTTCTTATTATTAGTACTATTAGTATTATTCTTAGTCTACAGTAATGATATTAGTAGTACTAATACTAGTAGTATGGTTATTATTGGTATTCGCAGTTTTTCATTCGTACTAGTATTATTCGTCTTCTTATTGTTCTGACAAGTATTACCATTTGTCTTCTTAGTATTAGTTTTACACTGGTTCTTCTTAGTATCGGCATTCGTTGTATTAGCATGAGTCTTGTGTTCCTTCTGGATATACTTCTCATTCTGAGTAGTAGTGTTACCTATTATTACCCTTACTACTAGAATTACGATTACCAGTAGTAATCTTCGTGTTGTGATTGTTATACGTATTCGTAGCTTCCCTTCTTCATCTTGTTCCTCCTCCTCAATGCGCACAGCAGGACACCAACGAACGCCTCGTCTGCGTTTACGAGGCGTGCAAGGCCCAAGGCCGAGGCAGCGAAGGTGCGGTTCGCCCTGTGCTTCCAGGCAGAGCCCACGACCAGCATGTGCTCGAAGAGCACGAGGATTGGCCTGACGTTCAGGCGTGGCCGCTGCCCACCGATCGCACCCCCAGGGGCGGTGGCCGCGGCACTCTACGCGGACGAGGAGGAGGAGGAGGAGGAGAAGGAGGGGGAGGAGGAGGAGGAGGAGGAGGAGGAGGAGGAGATTTCTCGGGGCGCGCGATTTTCGCTGACTTCTCGCCGCTGGGTCGCCCCCTCGCGAGCCTCGCCCAGAAGCGCGCGCCCCTTCTTCTCTCGGTCGTTTCCCTCTCGCCCAAAAGCGCGCGCCCCTTCTTCTATATATACAGAAACTCCCGATCAACCGCAGAGCGGCGGTACATGGGATTTCTAAAAATATCGGATTTTTTTTATACGTGACTAATGTATGAGTAAATGCATGCATGAGCTCATCGTTGTTTTTAGTACTGAATCCCTGCATTTCTAATGCATGATCCGCACGCGGAGCATGTATTAAAAACGGCACTGCACTCGGAGAAGACTGCAGATGGGAACGCCAGCGTTCGGAGCTCCGCGCGGCTTGCTCGCATCGGCGCCGCACCTCCCCCACGAGCTCGCCATGGGGCGAGGTCGGCGGCGGCGACAGGGGGGCCCAGCGCCGATCCAAGGACTCCGCGCAGACTTCCAAAGGTAAATGTTTATGACGCCTCTTCTTCATTTTCGTAGTATTAGTGCTATCATACCCATGACTAGCGACACAGGATTGCAACTCTTAAACTTGTTACTATGACTATTCTCACTATTTTTTCGAACAAGAAGGGGATACTATCGGCGGCGAGCGAGGGGGAGAAGTGAAAAAGGGCGGGCCTTCTCAGAAGGCTCGGAAGTCCCACGGCCTTCTGAGAAGTTTCCTAAGCCTACCCCGAAGACACAAAAAAACGTCGCAGAAGGCCGCAGAGGGCTTCGGAGAAGCCCCGACGCCTTCTGAGAGGGCCTCCTCCTTCTCACTTCCCCCCTCGCTCGCCGCTCGGGTCAAATTTCGGATCAAAACTCGGATCTCCGGCGGCCGTTCGGGACGACCCGGGCATCCCCCGGGAACGCTCTCGGCGAGGCGCCGCCGCTGGAACGCATCCCGACGGGCGGCAAAGCGCCGGAAGCCTGCGCGCAGAAAGCGCCCGACAATCCAGGCCCTCGAAGTTCGAGCCTCGAAGCCCCCCCCCCTCGCCCTTGAGCAGGGACCGACCGTCGGCATCTCTATTGTCCTGCCACGAAATGCTCTTAGAGCCCGAAAATGTTCTAAGAACACAGACAGTGTTCTTAGAACATAAGCCCGATGCGTTAAAACAAGACAGACTCCGCCAGAAATGCTCTAAGAATATTCCCTGGAAGCCACAAACGGTTCTTAGAACATTCTTTGGTAGGGCTATGGGCGAGCCAGGACGCTTCGCCACTGCTTGACGCACGTCGCCGACACCAGGGGGGAAGGGGGGGGGGCGAAGCAGCTCACGCAGCGGGCTCGGTGCTCACGGCGCCGCAGGGGGGCGCCCCGGCGGCGGGGCCGAGGAGGGCTGCCCCACAGCAGACCTCGCAGGCCTCGCCCTCGCCCCGCTCTCCCGGCCGGCCCTGCGGGGGGGTCGGCGGCGCGCACAAGGGGGGGGGGGAGGGGGGGGGGGGCTGCTTCGAAGGAGGCTGCTTTCCCAGAAGGCGGCGGCCTGACATCTAGAGAGGAGGCCCGCGCCCGCTAAGGAGCAGCCTCCCTCTAAGAAGCCCCCCCCCCCCCCCCCCCCCCCCCCTGCGCGTGGCCGAGGGGGCCCGCGGGCCACCCCCTGGGGCCGGGAAGAGGGGACGAACGCCCTGCGGGGGTTTGGCTGGCCCAAGAGGGGGTGCAGCTGAAAGGGGGTGGTGCCATAGGTGTGGGGCAATTGTATTGCTAGTGTATTGCACCGGAGAAATGTATTGCATTGTATTGCATCCACTGTGTTGCACGCGAAAATCCAGCAATACACTTGCGCACCGAAATGGGTTGCACGCCCCAAATCTACTGCAATTCCGCATTGATATTGCCCAAGTATATTGCACCACCCCCTTTCAGCTGGACCCCCTTTTGGGTCTAGCCGAAGGGGGCGACCTTCAAAGATGACGTGCGCGCGTGCGCGCGCGTGTGTTCGTGTGCGTGTGTTCGTGTGTGTGTTGGAGTTGTGCTTTGAGAGTGCGTTGGATCGTGTTCTGTGCGCGTGTGGCGTGCTCTGTTGCGCTCTGCTGTGCTGTGCTGTGCTGTGCTGTGCTGTGTTGTGTTGTGCTCTGCTGTGTTGTGTTGGTTTGTGTGGTGTGTTGTGCTGTGCTGTGCTGTGCTGTGCTGTATTGTGGTGTGTGGTTGTCCCGTGCTGTGCTGTGCTGTGTTGTGTTGCGTTGCGCTGTGCTGTGCTGTGTCGTGTCGTGTCGTGTCGTGTCGTGTCGTGTGTCGTGCTGAGTGTTCTGTCCTGTGCTCGTGTGGGCGCGCGCATGCGTGCGCGCGCCATCTGGGAGAGCGGCGACGGCCGGGCCAGCGCGGCCCGCGGGGGGAGTGGTCCAGGGTCGGCCCTCCCGCCCCGTGCGGCCCGCGGGAGCACCGGGAGGGGCATCGATGGACGAACGCGCACCCCCCTGCGGGGCTGCAGCTGAAGCCGCTGCGCTCCGTCGTCGTGCTGTGCTCGCTGTCCTCCGTGCCGTCTTCGTCCTGCCTCTGCCGCGGGGGGAGGTCAAGACGAAGGACGGCCCACGAAACCGCCAGAGCGCCGTTTCGCTCGGGCCCTGCCCCGCAGAAGGAAGGCAGCAACAGTTGGGTTCGGAGGCCGCCGCCTGGGACGCCTGACCCCCGCGAGGGGGCCACAAGCCCTGCAGCCATCGTGCTTCCATGAGGAGCGCAGAAGGAGCTACCAGAAGGAGCCTATGAAGAGGGAGCTTGGAGGGAGGGTGTATTCCAACATCGCTGATGAGTCTTGGGTTTAATTACACTGGCCCTCCTCCTCCTCCTCCTCCTCCGCCTCCTCCTACTCCTCCTCCTCCTCCGCCTCCTCCATTTCCTCCATTTTCTCCTCCTCCTCCTCCTCCTCCTCCTCCTCCTCCTCCTCCTCCTCCTCCTCCTCCTTCGGCCTCCTCTTCGGCCTCCTCCTCCTCCTCCTCCTCCTCCTCCTCCTCCTCTCCTCCTCCCCCCTCCTCCTCTTCTTCTTTCCTCCCCTCTCCTCGGCCTCCTCCGCCTCCTCCTCCTCCTCCTCCTCCTCCTCCTCCTCCTCCTCATAAGTCTGAGGAGCGGCCCGAAGCCGCGAGCCCCTCCTGAGCCGGCAGAGGTCCTTCCTGCAGCGTCTCGACTGCAGGAAGGCGAGGGGCCGACCCCCCGAGGAGGGAGCGACCGTCGAGCGCGCCGTGCCCACCGCAGGCGCGAGCTCTGCCCCGGGGGGTCTTACCAGCTCCCGAGGGCGCATCCCTGGGAGTGGAGGATGAGGAGGAGGAGGAGGAGGAGAGGAGGAGGAGGAGGAGGAGGAGGAGGAGAGGAGGAGGAGGAGAGGGAGGAGGAGGAGGAGGAGGAGGAAGGAGGGGGAGGGAGGGGAGGGAGTGAGGGGGAGGGGAGGAGGAGGAGGAGGAGGAGGAGGAGGAGGAGGAGGAGGAGGAGGAGGAGGAGGAGGAGTAGGAGGAGGAGGAGGAGGAGGAGTGGGGGTCGGTGACAAGAAACACCCTGCTTGCCTCCAGGGTGCCCTGGGATTCTCGAGCTTCGACGGTCCTGCTGTGCAAGGCGCGACGCTCCCACACCAAGGACCCATGGACGTCCTGGGGTCTCAGGGTTGGGTTTCTTGTGGAAGGTTTCTTGTGGATGGGCCTCCCCTGTACGACGGCTTGATGTGGAGGGCAGCGTGCGAACTCGAGGACGCAGGTCTGGCAAACGGTTTTCACCGCCGCGTCGGCCGTCAGGAGGTCGGTGGGCAGCCCGCTCAGTTTCATGCTGCACTCGCTGTGCTGAGCGATTGTCCGTCGCGGATGCTGTATGGAGCCGGCGACCAACAACGAGAATGCTGCGGCCGGTTCTCCGAAGGTCTGTCTCGGCCCCAAGTTCAACTGGTCCGCAAACGTCGTCGCCATCGAAGTTCTGGAGCCTGGACGGCGCGTCGCGGTACTTGCGTATACAATCGTCGTGCGTCGTGCTACCATAAGGACTGCACAATAAGGACCGAAGGTTTTTTCTGGCCATGGGCCTAGGCCACAAACAGGCTCCACGACATAAGTGCAAGGAACGGCCCGAAAACCCGAGCCCCTCCTGAGCCCAAGGCGGTAATCTTGGCTGCAAAAGCCGAGGCAGTCACCGGGGGAAGAGCTGGGCGCCTTCTGGAGGGGGCAGCAGTGCAGGGGGTGGGGGCTCGCGGTGTGGTCGGGCGTGGCTCGCCAAGGGTGCGGCCTGCAACTGGCGCCCTGGGGGGGGCACCCCGGGGGGCGGAGGAGGGCCTCGACAGGGCTGTCCGCAGCGCCCCTCGAGGGCCCGACGAGGACGGCGCCGTGCCCCCCAGGCCCCAGCGACCCGGATCGCAAACCACACCCTGGCGTAACCACACCCTCTGTAGTCCCCATGGCCCCAGGACGGCACGGCCAGCAGGCGAGGGCGGGTCTGGCAGCGGGGCGTCGTCGTGAACTGCCAGCCCGGAATCGCGGAGGGGTCGAGATGTGGTCCGAAAGGGGTGGCGTTGGCTGGGCGAACACGCATTCTCAAGAGGGGCCAAAAGAAAGCGGGTGACAATCTGACCAAGACCAGTGGCAAATGCACATCACACACACACACACACCACACACACACACACTTGCCCCAGGCGCGCTGGTGGCGGCAGTCAGCGGGGACCGGAGGCAAAGGCAGAATGTGCGCCAAGCCAAAAGTAAGCCGTTGTGTGGCAGCTCGAACGAGGCTGGCAACCACGGGCGCACAAAACAAAACCTACCAAAAACGCATACCGATCGAAAGAGCTTGCGGGGGGCTCCTCCGCGGCGTGGGCGGCCGCGCGTTGGCTCACCAGGGCCTCCTCGGCAAAAGACGGGGATGGAGGGGGGCCTTGGCTTCCTCCTCCTCCTCCAGCTCCTCCTCCTCCTCCTCCTCCTCCTCCTCCTCCTCCTCCTCCTCCTCCCCCTCCCGCCCTCCTCCTCCTCCTCCTCCTCCTCCTCCTCCTCCTCCTCCTCCACCTCTTCAGCATCATCATCGGCACCACGATCAGCATCACCATAACCAACACCACCATCACTGTCACCATGACCGTTATCACCATCACCATCGCTCGTCATCCGCATCAGTACAATCACCATCACCATCGCCGCCATCACCAATATCACCATCATAATCATCACGATCATCGCAATCAGCATTATCATCATCACCATCACCATCAGCATGACCATGACCATGACCATTCCCATCGCCATCACCATCATCGTCACAATCATCGCAATCATCACCATCAAGATCATCATTACTACCATCGCCATGATATTCGTTACCGTCTTCCTCATCAACGTTTCCCTCATCATGATCGTCATCATCATCAGCAATCGCATCATAATCTGCATTCTCATCATTCTTAAACATTCTCGACATCATGATCATCGGCTGCCTCTTCCACCTCCTCCCTCTCCTCCTCCTTCTTGTCCTCATCATATGTCTCCTCCGTGTTGCTTCTCTTCGTCCCCCCCCTGTCACCTCGCCGTCGTCCTGATCCTACATGTTCCTTCTCCTCCTCCAAGTCACCCGTTTCCTCTTACTCTTCCTTTGCTTGATCCTCCCCCTTATCAGCATCATCGTCACCCTCCCCTGTTCCTCCTCCTTTTTATTTTCCTCATCCCCCCATGCTCCTCCTCCTCCACCCAGTTGTACCGTACTCCTTATCCTCCTCTTCCTCCTCCTCCTCCTCCTCCTCCTCCTCCGCCTCGTGTACCGCCTTCCAACTCCACCTCCTCCTCGTCCTCCTCCTCTCCCTCCACCGCATCGCCATCATCATCATCATCATCATCATCATCATCATCATCATCATCATCATCATCATCATCATCATCATCATCATCATCATCATCATCATCATCATCATCATCATCATCATCATCATCATCATCGCATCATCATCAGCATCATCATCATCATCATCGTCGTCGTCGTCGTCATCATCATCATCATCATCATCATCATCATCATCATCATCAGCATCATCAGCATCAGCATCAGCATCATCATCATCATCATCATCATCATCATCATCATCATCATCATCATAACCATCGTCATCATCAGCATCATCAGTATCATCATCAGCATCAGCACCATCATCACCTACTGTCTCCTTCTCCTTCTTGACGCTGGTAAAATTCAGGACAGAGCTTGTGGGGTCAATGTGAAGTCCAAACAAGAGCGGCCGACTTAGCGCTGCGACGAACACATTGCGCCTCGCTGGCGCTGGGACAAAAAGAGAGACATGAAGAAATGAAAAGAGACAGTGAGCCCGCAAGGGCACATAATATGCGCTAGCCAAGCGGCAAAGTGCAGCGAAAGGACCGAACCCGAAACGAAAAGCCGATCATACACCTGAATACGCAACGAAAACGAATCGAATACCGATGGGTCGGACAAGAGGAATCGAAATACACGCGCAGTAAATTACAGTGCACAGTATATCGCCTGCATCGTCTTATCTGCAAAGTTCTGGTAGGCTGGCTGTGCAGCTCTATGCTTGAAACTTACTAAGGCTGGCTGATTCCCCCTCCCTCCTCCTCCTCCTCCTCCTGCTCCTCCTCCTGCTCCTCCTCCTCCTCCGCCTCCTCCTCCTCCTACTCCTCCTCCTCCTCCTCCTCCTCCTCCTCCTCCTCCTCCTCCTCCTCCTCCTCCTCCTCCTCCTCCTCCTCCTCCTCCCTTTCCATTTTCCTCCCTCTCGTCCTCTTCCCCTCCCTGCTCAAAATGCTCCCGGAAGGGTTGCCACAACGGCTGGGGGAACACACAGTCCGACGGCGTGGCCGAACTCTGGCCACAGCGCTGGGCCACACAGCTCGATGCTTCCAACGGCAGGGGGCAGCGGTGGTTCGCGGGAGGCGTCTTCGATCCGCCGCCCGCTGTTGGTTTGCCACGAGGGGTGTTTTGTTGCCATTGGAAAACAGGAACGGCATAAACATAAACTCTCGGCGCTCCGCGTGGACTTCTTGGGTCCCCCTCCCTGGTGCGCGGGGCGCGCCAAGGGCGGCGCCGGAAACGCCGACAGGGGGGCCGAGCGCAGATCCAAGAAATCCGCGCGGAGCGCCGGAAGTATGGTTATGCATTTTGTTCGTTTTCGAATGTTCGTCGTTGGCTATTTCCTTAAGAACTCCCAGTGGGGTCACAGCCCAGCCCGCTGGCCGTGCAGAACACCCCTGGGTCGTAGGCCTTTCCAGCCCGAGACGGCTCGTGGATGGCCTCCAAGACAGCCAAGATGCCTCCAAGACCGCCAGGATGGCCCAACATGGCATCCAAGACCGCCCCAAAGACGTTTTCGAGTTGGCCAAGATGGCCCCAAGACGGTCCACGATGTTCTGCAGACGGCCCGAGAGGCCTCTGAGACGCCATGAGAGGGCCCCGAGAGGACTTCCAGGAGGCCACAATCATCGATTCCCCCCTGTGTTTCAACGCTTCGAGCGTTCTCGCCTTCTCGGGCGTCCGACGCTCCAGGGCGGGCCACGGGCATCCAAGAGCGCCCCGCGAGGTCCCAAGAGGCCCCCAGGAGGCCCGCAAGACGGCCCAAGAGGTTTTTTGTTTACCTCCACGGCTTCACCACATCAGCCAAACAGGCGACTCCTGACAGCATCTGTGGGACATGCTGTAGGCAAAATGCACCGAGCAGCAGGTGCAACAAATCGGGCGACCTCGGGCGACCTCGCCTCGGCGAGGTCGCCACTTCGGGGAGGGGGCTTCGCGAGTTCCTCTCGGAGCGCCCACTATGGCTCCCTCCCCTCACGGATCGACCCTCGGCTCGGCCCCAAGATGACCCAGCCCCAAAGACGGCCTCCGAGGACGGCCCCAGAGACCTCCAAGACAGCCCTGGAGCGCCCTAAGGAGGACCGACGAGTGCCCCGGGAGGGCCCCAAGGACGGCCTCCGAAGGCCACGGGTCCCCAGAGGGGCCCCCAAGAGGCCACCCAGAGAGCCCAAAGAGGGCCCAGGAGGACCTCCAGGAGTCCAACATCATGTATTGCCCTTGCGCGTTTAAATGGTATTAACGTTCTCGCATTTTCGGGATTCCGACGCTCCAGGACGGGCCCGGCCCATAGACCTCCAAGATCGCCCCGAGACGGCCCAAGAGGCCCTCAAGAGGCCCGAAAAACAACCCAAGTGGGCCAAAGACGGCCCCAAGGACGGCCCCAGATACCAAGACTGCCCAGGGAGGGCCCAAGACGGCATCCGAAGGCCATGAGGCCCCAAAGAGGCCCCCATGAGGTCCCCACAAGTCCCAAGAGGTCCACGAGGACCTCCAGGAGGCTAGAATTAGTGTGCCTTATGTTGTTGAGCAATATTTGCGTTCTCGCCTTTTCAGGCGTCCGACGCTCCAAGACGGGCACATGCGCCTCCAAGATCACCCCAAGACGGCACAAGGGGCACTCAAGAGCCCGAAAGACGGCCCAAGAGGGCCCCAAGACAGCCCAAGAGGCCCCCGAGGAGGCAGCGAAGATGGCCCCAAGCCAGCCCTAAAGCACCCAAAGGAGGACCGACGACTGCCCAGGGAGGACCCAAGACGGCCTCCGAAGGCCAAGATACCCTCAAGATGCCCCCAAGAGGCCCCAGGAGGACCTCCAGGAGGCCAACATGATGGGTTGTCCTTGGGTGGTTCACTGATGTTTGCAGTCTCGTCTTTTCGGGCGTCCGACGCTCCAGGACTGGAACATACGCCTCCAAAATCGCCCCAAGACGGCCCAAGAGGCCCGCAAGACGGCCCAAGAGGGCCCCAAGACAACCCGAGACGTCCTGAAGACGGCCCCAAGACGGTCCCAGAGACCTCCAAGACGGCCCAAAAGACGGTCCCAAAGACCTCCAAGACGTCCTGAAGACGGCCCCAAGACGGTCCCGGAGGCCCGCAAGACGGCCCAAGAGGGCCCCAAGACAGCCCGAGACGTCCTGAAGACGGCCCCAAGACGGCCCCAAGACGGCCCCAGGGACCTCCACGACGGCCCCAAAGCGGGCCCCAAGACGGCCTCCGAAGGCCAAGGGGGGCCCATGCAGGCCCAAGAGAGGCACCCCATAGCAGGTCCCAAGGAGGCCCCCTTCCCCTGCTCGCGGAGGAGGAGGAGGAGGAGGAGGAGGAGGAGGAGGCCCCCCCCTATCAGCCAAGGCCGTCCTGCTCGCGGCTCTGCTGCAAAAGCCTCGCCTCTTCTGCGGCCAGCGCGGCGGCGCGCACGCTGATCAGCTCCTCCTGCGCTTCTGTGCGGACGGTCTAGTGTCCCCCACCGCCTTCTCATAATCATCACCACTACCATCAGCATCACCACAACGACCATCATCGTCATCACCATCACTACTACAACAATCACCGTCATAACCACTCCGACAATCATCAGCGTCAGTACAATGTTCAGCATCAGCATCAGCATCAGCATCATCATCAGCATTATTATCCGCAGCAGTATCAGCATCAGCATTAGCATCAGCATCATCATCAGCATCATCATCCTGGCAGTCCGCATCATCGTCCTGGCAATCAGCATCATAATCATGATTCTCACCACCACCATCAATCATCACCACTAGCAGCAGCGACAGCATCATCATCATCATCGTCAGCAGGAGCATAATCATCAGCAGCAGCAGCATCAACATCAGCAGCATCATCAACATCCCAAACATCAGCATCATCAGCAGCATCACCATCATCAACATCATCATCAGTATCATCGTCGTCGCCATCGTCATCATCATCACCACCATCAGCATCATAGTCGTCATCATGATCAGAATAATGACCATCATCGTCAACCTCAGCACCATCATCACCATCATCACAATCATTATCATCATCATCATCATCACTACCATCATCATCATCATCATCACCATCATCAGCATGGGCATCAACGCAAGCTTCATCAGTATCATCAACATCAGCATCATCATCAGTATCATCACCATCACCACCACCATCACCACCATCATCATCATCAGCATCATCATCATTACAGCCATCACCACGATACTCTCCCTCATCGTCAGCATCAGTATCATCAGCATCATCATCATACGCAGCACCAGCATCAACATCATTCAGCATCATCGCCACCACCATCATCATCACCTACATCATCAGCAGCATCGCCATCATCATCCTGAGCATCACCGTCCGCACCCTCACCCTCGTCATCATTGTCATCAACATCGTTACCATCATCCAGGTCACCACCAGTCAGAATCACAATCATCACCATCACCATCATCATCACCACCACCATGAACATCATCATCATAATCATCATCATCACCTTCTTCCACCCCTACCCCTTTCCTGATGAACAACGCCTCTATGTCGAATCCCCAGACGTGTCGGTGGGGCGGGCCCGGCGTTACGCCTGAGGCTTCTTCACGCTTGCATGATCCTGACGCTTGAAATCTGCAACGGTTTCACAAATTTAGGGCGGGTGGCTGTCATAGTGTGGCTCTGGCCTTTGCGCCGCATGCACTTGCTTGTACATGATTGCATCAGATTCATGGATGGAGGGCGGGTTGTTTTCAAACAGCGCCTCTCGACTTAGAGCCGCGCACATTCATTAAAAAACTGCAACAGCTTCAAGGATGGAGGGCGGGTCGATTTAAAAATGTGGCTCTCACATTGGCGCCGCGCTCTTTCGTACAAAAAGTTCGCAGCAGCTTCAAGTATGGAGGACGATTGGTTCTTCAACGTGTGTCTCTCAACTTAGCGCCGCGCACATTTGCTCGTAAATATTTGCAGCAGATTCATGGATTGAGGGCGGGTCGTTTTCAACCTGTGCCTGTCGCCGTAGAGCCGCGCATACTCGTAATAAACACTGCAACAGCTTCAAGGATGGAGGGCAGGTCGTCTTCAAAATGTGGCTCTCGCCGTAGCGCCGCGCACAGTCATATCAAAAGTTGGCAGCAGTTTCAACTATGGGTGACAGGTGGTTTTCAACACGTGTCTCTCGCCGGGGCGCCGCGTATATAGTCGTCTAAAAAGCGTGCAACGTTCTCACGGATGGAGGGCGGCTCCTTTTCAAAATGGGGGCTCTCGCCTTAGCGCCGCGCGCATTCGTCATACAAGTTTACGGCAGGTTAGAGGATTCGTATGCTTGCAGTTCCAGGAATGGTGTTCTGGCTCGACCTAGGACTGTCAGGATGCAGCAGTCATGTTGATTCGCGGTGTTGAAGTCCACGGAATGGTGTTATGGTGGTATGGGACGATTTGGATTATCAAGAGACAACAGTCACGTTGATTCGCGGCGTTGCAGTCCCAGGCACGGTGTTTTGGCACGAGTGAGGATTCTCAGACAGTTGTCTCATCAAAAGGCATGTCCCACAATGGAAACGGTTCTTGGAGGGACATGCGAAAAGGTAACTTGAAGGGAGGGTGCATTGTAACATCGTTGCTGAAGGTCCTCCTCCTCCTTATCATCCTCTTCCTCCTCTTCCTTCTCTTCCTCCTCCTCCTCCTCCTTATCATCCTCTTCCTCCGCCTCCTCCCTTCTCATCCTCCTCGAACTCAGGCTCAAACTCATCCTCCTGCTCGTGACAGCCGCGGACTGTCTGTGTCGATGACCCCTCCTCCTCCTCCACCGAATTACTCCTCCTCCACCTCCTCCTCCTCCTTCCGACGCTCAGACGCAGGGGGCTGCGCCACGATGCTCGTCGACGCCCCGAGTCGCCTCCCCCCGCTCGGAAAGAGCGGCTTGCCACGGCGACCCGCTGGCGCCCGCCGGATCACCACCGATCACCCTCGGGGTCATCGGCAAGGGGGGCACCAGCTCAGGGGGGGAGCCACCGACCTGGAGTCGGCGCTACAGCGCCGATGGATCGGCGATTGGCCCCCGATGGCGAGTCGGCACGGTCCCGGGCGGGGCGGCGCCATCGGGCCCCCATCGGCGATCCGTGGGCGATTGGGGGTCAATGCATCCCCCCATGAGCCGATCCCCCCCCCCGAACGTTGCCCCTGACCTGAGGTCCTGAAAGCGGAGAGAGCGCGATTCACGGGCGCTTGGGTGCCAAACGTTCCCCGACATACGGAAAAAAACAGGAGTCCACACACACACACACACACACACACACACACACGCACGCACGCACGCACGCACGCACGCACGCACGCACGCACGCACACACACAACCACACACAGACACACACACAACCACAACATCCAAGGCACCCTGCGAACCGAACAACCCGCCCCCCCTTCACCCAGAACCCACGCTCCCAAACCTCCCCTCATTGGCGCCAGTCGTCGTCGTCGTCGTCGTCGTCCTTTGCCGGCGCCACGGATGGGGGGTCACATCGTCGTCGTTTGCCGGCGGCGCCTGGGGGGTCATCGTCGTCGTCGTCGCTTGCCAGCGCCAGTGGGGAGTCATCGTCGTCGCGGCGTCGTTGTCGCTATCGTTTGCTGACGTCAGGGGTAAGGTGGAGTTAGTTCATCGTCGTCGTCGCCGTCGTCTGGCGCCAAAAGGGCTTTGGACCCTCTCTACCTTTTCGGGTGGGGGGGAACTGGTCTCTGGACGTCCGGGATATTAGGGGGGGCCTGACTTCGGATCCGCCGTACTGTGGGCGATGTCAAAACTAGGGCGAACATGTCACCCTTACGATCCAAGCTGCTTTGATGCCGATTTCCGCCTTACTTTGCCGTCGCAAGTTCCGCCATAATTTTGCAGAAGTATCCGCCCTACTTGCAATGATGTTTGCCATACTGCGGCTCGACATGTCAATTGGAGCTGCCCCTCTTGGACCCCTCGTGGGGCCCTGTTGGACCGTTTTGGCCGCCTCGGAGCGTCTTGAGGCTCTCTTGGGGGTCTCTTGGGCCGTGTTGGCCAAAAATGCTTCCCCAGGAAATGGGGCGATCTTGTCCTCCCAGGGCCCTCTCGGGGAAAATATAAAAACTTGTTTGGCGAGTCTTCGGGGCCTCATGGGCCGTTGGGAGGCAATCTTCAGGCGTCCTCGGCCCTGTTGGGCCGCTCTGGTTTTTTGTTGGCCTCTGGAACTGTTTTGAACCGCCAAGGGAGGGCCCAGGAGGCCCCCGGGAGAATCAAGACTTCGGGCGCCGAAAAAAAGAAATCCGAGAGGGTGGGCCAGCCAAGGACTGGGCCCTGATATCCGAGAGGGTGGGCCAGCCAAGGACTGGGCCCTAGGCGCCCCGGTATGTGAGCAAGAAGTGTTCAAACTCATTTGCAACAATGCAAACCAATTCGGACCCCCAAACAGTGTTTTCTAGCGGTACACAACCTAGGTGGAGCAATTTACGTGGAGCAATGTACCTGGTGCACTGTATGTTGTGCAGCAGATGTTGTGCGATACGCTGTGTCGTCAACGTGATGCAATATATGTGGTGCAACGAACTGTTGTTCGCAATGAGTTGTCAACTCCACTGCTGGCGCAATCATCCCACCAACCCGCAACTTAGATTGTAAAACCAATGTGGCGGCGATTGCGATAACTGCTTGGCCTTGGCTGGCGCGTCGCTGCGGCCGCGTTAACGCTCGCAAGCTCGCGCGCAGAGAGGCCAGCTAGTCTGGCGCGACAGGCGCGGCCGCGGTGGCGGTAACCGCTGGGGATTCTCCAGCGCGTCTCGCAATCCGCGCTGGCGCGCTGGGCACTTCAGTGCGAGTCGGTGACTTGGGCGGGCGTGGTATCATGGCGACATCGACAGTGGCAGGTACGATGATGTTAGTAGCGATGCGCGCGACGATGGCGATGGCGGTGTCCACGCGTCGGTGATTTTTTTTTTTTTGCTCGGGCCGAGCGCGGGCCTCGAGTCGGCTTCGGACGACGCCGAGAGAGAGAGATCTCGGCCAGGCAAAACTACTGGTGCACGCACCGAGGCCTGTCGGCAGCAGCTTAAACGTACCCTTACGCACGACCACAGTGCTGCAGACGCAGGAAGCCAGACCATTGCGGACACGCCGAGCGGACTCGGCGTGCCCGGCCATGAGCAACCGAGAATTAACCCGTAGGGGAGAACAATGGGAAGCACATTATCTTTCGAAACAGGCAAATGCGCTTAACCACGGCGGCCCGCCTGGGGGGCTTCCACCACCCACGAGGCTACCAGCCGCCACCGCCCTTTCCCCAACCACCACCGCCGCCCTTGCCGCCGCCCTTGCCGCCGCCACCGCCACCCCAGCCGCCACCCCCGCCACCGCCATCGCCGCCGCCCGACTTCCAGGGACCAGAGCAAGACGAGGCGCAGTACTTTCCCTTGCGGTCGTCCCACTCCAACTCGTACTCAACAGCGTCACCTTCCTCGAGGTACGCGGTACGATCCGCACCGTTCACCTTCCGGTGTACGAACACGTCCTCGCCGCCGTCCTCGGGCGTGATGAAGCCGAAGCCCTTGTCCTCGAAGAACTTCTTGATGGTTCCCTTTGGCATGCTGGAGAATCAGGCTGGTAGAGTCTCGGCTCGGTCGGTCCTGACAAGGTGGGCTTCAGCCCAAATGGCTTGAGCCAAAATGGCTACGGGCGGTGTCCACGCGTCGGTGATGAGGGCTGCGAAAAAAGGGTTTCGACATGCGCGCGCGGCCGACGGACGCGAGTGGCCCGCATTGCATTGATTTGGAAAAAAACGTGCTCCCCACCCCCCCGGCACGCGCGCAAGGGCGTTCGAGTGATTCCGACATGCGCGCCAAAGAGACGCACTTTTGGTCTGGGTTAACGGACAGTTTGAAGAAACAACATTGTTTTCGTAAGCATTCGAAAAAGTGCGCGCAGACATTTCGCTTCAAAAGTCACATTTGAAGGGGCCCTGGGACACACAAATAAATACACACAAATAAAAAGATTCCCAATATTTTCCCATATTTTCTGGGTTTCTGTCTTCCCCCCCACTTCCCATATTTTTCCATATTTCCGGGGGAATCGAGGATTAATTGTGTCTGTGTTTTTTCCTCTCCTGAACGTTGCAGAACCATGTGATTACATGTGTTCGGGGTACTCGATGTTGAAATGAATTCGAAGCCTAAGTTCGTTTAAAAGGTGTCGGCCTGCGCGCGCGACGACGCGCGCGTGCACTTCGCCCCATAAGTTGCAAGGGGATCTTGGAAATTGACAATTTGTGGTATACGAAAGTGCACGCTTAGTGTATTTAGCAGAGAATGGGGGAGGGATCGATACCGGCTGGGCTGGGACCGAATGGTTTCATAATGTATATATATATATATATATATATATATATCGATATGTATGTAGAGAGAGAGAGAGAGAGACAGAGACAAAGACAGAAAGAATGAACGATGGGCCAAAATCACAAACAAATTGCACATCCCTGGGGTGAACCGTGAAGTTCGCCCTCGGGGGGGGGAATCTATTCGAATTGGGATACGAGAACCTACGTGGTGCAATCTAGCCGGCGACGGGGCGTACGGCGGCGGCGGCGAGCACGGAGCCGCCAGACCCCCAGCCAGTCCCCGACGACGGGCGGCGACGAGGCGGCGACGGGGCGGCGGCGGCGAGCACGGAGCCGCCAGCCCGCCAGCCAGGCGCAGTTTTCTAGAAAGAGCTAAGAATCCCCGAAATGCAAACACTGCTTGGGAAAAAAAACGCCAACGGCGATAACATCCCGCAAGCCCTCTGGGCGTGAGTGGTTTAGGGGGCATCCCCTTCACAACCTTCCAACCCCCGTCTCCCACCTTCCAACACCCGTCTTCCCCTTCGGGGAGAGCTTGATCATTGTTCCTTATTGATATACACCCCCTCCCCCAGGCGACCGGTGTCCAACCAGGAACCATGAGGACACCATGACGATCCGCCCCCCACCATCCTTGTCAAAAAACATTACAAACCGCACTCTGCCTGCACATTTGGAGCATGCGCGGCCAACCCGATGCGGCCCCCCCACCCTCCCTGTCAAACAGCATTGCAAAATACACCTCGGGGAAAAGTCTTGTCATGTTCGTGAGGCCCACGAGCACTTCGTATTGTTCTTGACAGGGGCGGCGGGGGGGTCAGCGTATTGCCGGCTGCGCGCAGGGCTGGCATTCCTGACAAAAACCAATACAACATGCACCTCGCGGCTAAATCTGGATCATGCGCGGCCATCCCGCGACAACTGTCAATTGGTTTTCGACAGGGGCCGCGGGGGTGGTGGCGCGTGGCATGCTGTGCGCAGGCCCACCAGACATCATGATGGGCACTCGTTTTCGACAAGGATGGTGGGGGCCGACATGTTTCCCGATGTGTGCTGTCACGTGCGCAGGCGCACCTGACGCACTCTGCACGTGCCCCGAACGTGGCGCACCTGGCGCGGCTGGAGTGTGCGGCACACCGGGCGCACTCGGAGCACGTGGCGCATCTGGCACACCAGGCGTGCCTGGCACGCTAGGGCCCCAGGGGCGCCTGGCGCGCGTGGCGCCCCTGGCACGCATGGCGCACCGCGCACCTGGGGTCGGCTTTGGTTGCAAGTAGCTGTCCATCCAAAGACGACCGCTGAACATGTTCAGGCTCGGGTGTTACTCGTGTGTTGGGAGGGCGGGTGGGAGTGAGCTAGACGGCTTGCGGGCGGGTGGGTAGCTTGACCCCTCCCCCTACCCCCTCCCCTGGACCTGGATGGGGGGGTTCGCAACCCATTGGAGGGTCCAAGATGGCCTCAGCGAGAAAGCGAAGTCATTGACTGCCTGAAATCATCCTCCGACTGCTCCTCCTCCTCATCCACCTATTCCTCCTCCTCCCTCCTCCCTCCTCCCTCCACCACAATTACTCAATATGAATATACTCTCCCTCTTCCCCTGATGGCGTCCGGGTGATGGCCGCGCACCCTCCGCGTAGTTTTTTTACACACAGGATGCCCGGGAAATCCCAGGAAACGACTCTCGCTGAGGCGCCGGCGTCATTTTTTGCCCAAAATGCTGCTCTCGCGCCGGCGCCATTTTTTCCCCAAATGCTGCTCTCGTTGAGGCGCCGACCTCATTTCTGCTCCCGAATCCTTCCCCTGATGGCGTCCGGGTGATGGCCGCGCAACCTCCGCGTACTGTTTTTTTACACACAGGATGCCCGGAAAATCCCGGGAAACGACTCTCGCTGAGGCGCCGGCGTCATTTTTTCTCAAAATGCTGCTCTCGTTGAGGCACCGGCCTCATTTCTGCTCCCGAATCGTTCCGAATCGTGCTCCCGCTGCAGCGTGGGCCTCATTTTCGGATCGGTGTTTGGCCTCCGTCGTTCAGGATGGCGTTCTCGCCCCAGCGCGGGCCTCTTTCTCGCGCGCCCATCCGCCCGCCACCACCGCGCCGCACCACCACCACCACCACCACCACCACCACCACCACCACCACCACCACCACCACCACCACCACCAGCACCAGCACCAGTACAACACCACCACCACCAGCACCACCACCACCACCACCAGTACCACCACAACCACCACCACCAGCACCCCAACACCACCACCACCAGCACCACCACCACCACCACCACCACCACCACCACCACCACCACCACCACCACCACCACCACCACCACCACCACCACCACCACCACCACCACCACGACAACCACGCACACACGCACGCACGCACGCACGTGCACCACCACCCACTACGCACGCGCGCGCGGAGCCACAGGTCCGCTACGACACGCGTCCGCGGATAGAGAAAATCAGCGCCATGGTAAGGGATGGGAGGGAGGGGTAGGACGTCAGATATGACGCGAGCGCACCTAGCTTGTCCCCTCCCCCTCCCCCTCCTCCTCCTCCTCCTCCCCTCCTCCTCCTCCTCCTCCTCCTCCCTTCCTCCTCCTCCTCCTCCTCCTCCTCTCCTCCTCCTCCTCCTCCTCCTCCTCCTCCTCCTCCCCCTCCTCCTCCTCCTCCTCCTCCTCCTCCTCCTCCTCCTCCTCCTCCGATTCCTCATTACTAATCAGACCAACTCGCCTGGGCATCCTTTCTGGATGGTGTGGTGCGGTTGCGCTATCTTCTCCACTCCGAAGTCGCCGGTGCATCGCCGACGTCGCCGATGCATCGCCGATGCATCGGCGATGCGGCTCGATCCTCCGACCCCATCTGCTCGGACCCCACTTGGGAGCCCTGGATCAAGGGGGCAGGAGCTTAGTGGGCCCTGGAAACGACAAGGCCGTTCTTTTACCGGTTCCGTTTTGCATTTTTTTTGCCGGTTCCGTCGCCGTTTTTTTACCGGTTCCGTTGCCGTTTTTTTACGGGTTCCCGCTCCGGTTCCAATCCTGGAGCCGTTTTTGTTGCCGTTTCCGCTCGCCGTTTTTTGTGCCGTTTCCATTTCCAAGGGACACTCCTTCGGAAACGGTGAAAAAACGGCCCTGCCGTTTCCGGGGCCGCATCGCCGATGCATCGCCGATGCGGCTCAATCCTCCGACCCCATCTGCTCGGACCCGACTTGGGAGGCCTGGATCAAGGGGGCAGGAGGGACACGGGCACCTTCTCAGATCTCCGGCGACATGACTGTTTCAGTCCCAGCGGTCTGCCCTCGTGTTCGGCATCCGGCAAGGAGGCCGCCGCCGCCCCCGGGACCCCCCCCCCAAATTACCCTGGCGACGTACCCAACCCCTGCGCAACACGGGGCATGAGCAGCTTGGGAAACGTTATACGGAGGTGATGACGTGACATGGGCGCATACACTTCTGCAAGCGGCATTCGTTAGGCTCGCAGCCCCCCAGGGATTGCGATGTCCCGCTCAGATCTGCCTGGTGCCTCGCTCCGTTGGACCCACCAGCAGCCCTCGAAAGTGGCGACAATTTCGCAGATCGCAACCCCCCAAGGACGGCGAGGTCCCGCTCAGATCCGCGCGGTGCCTCACTCCGCAGGACCCACCAGCAGCCCTCGAAAACGGCGACGGTTTCGCAGACCGCAGCCCCATAAGGACGGCGAGGTCCCGCTCAGGTCCGCGCGGTGCCTCACTCCGCAGGACCCACCAGCAGCCCTCGAAAACGGCGACGGTTTCGCAGATCGCAGCCCCCCAAGGACGGCGAAGTCCCGGTCAGGCCCGCGCGGTGCCTCACTCCGCAGGACCCACCAACAGCCCTCGAAAATGGCGACATGTTCGCAGACCGCAGCCCCCCAAGGACGGCGAGGTCCCGCTCAGGCCCGCGCGGTGCCTCATTCCGCAGGAACCCCACCCCGCAGAACCACCCAGCAGCCCTCGAAAGTGGCGAACATGTTTCGCAATAAAAAGAAAAAAAAGAGAATAGAGAATGAGAAATCTGTCAGCCCCCCCAGGGACGGCGAGTCCCGCTCAAGTCCGCGCGGTGCCTCACTCCGCTGGACCCACCAGCAGCCATCGAAAGTGGCGACAGTTTCGCAGATCGCAGCCCCCCAGGGACGGCGAATTCCCGCTCAGGCCCGCGCGGTGCCTCACTCAGCTGGACCCACCAGCAGCCCTCGAAAGTGGCGACAGTTTCGCAGATCGCAGCCCCTCAGGGACGGCGAGGTCCCGCTCAGGTCCGCGCGGTGCCTCACTCCGCAGGAACCACCAGCAGCCCTCGAAAGTGGCGACATCTCGCAGATCGCGGACCCCCAGGGACGGCGAGGTCTAATTTGGGTCAGCGCGTGGCGTCACTGTGCTGGGCCCCCCAGCAGGCCTCGAAAGTGGCGACAGTTTCGCAGATCGCAGACCCCCAGGGATGGCGAGGTCTAATTTGAATCTGCGGTGATTACCCACTGTGCTGGGCCCCCCCAGCAGGCCTCGAAAGTGGCGACATGTTCGCAGACCGCAGCCCCCCAGGGATGGCGAGGTCTAATTTGAAGCTGCGGTGAGTACCCACTGTGCTGGGCCCCCCAGCAGCCCTCGAAAGTGGCGACAGTTTCGCAGATCGCAGACCCCCAGGGATGGCGAGGTCTAATTTGAATCTGCGGTGAGTACCCACTGTGCTGGGCCCCCCAGCAGGCCTCGAAAGTGGCGACAGTTTCGCAGATCGCAGCCCCCCAGGGATGGCGAGGTCTAATTTGAAGCTGCGGTGAGTACCCACTGTGCTGGGCCCCCCAGCAGCCCTCGAAAGTGGCGACAGTTTCGCAGATCGCAGCCCCCCAGCTGGCACGCAGCGACGAGCGAGGCAAAAGGCAAGGGGGAAGGAGGCAGGAAGGAAGGGAGAAAGGAGACGCGCGAGCAGTGCTCTATTTAAAACGAGAACCTAACGCAGGAGGGTTGGGAAAAAACGGATCCAGGGCGGATGACGCCCCGGTGCAGGGGGGTCGATGACGGTGGCAGTGCTGATGACGACGATGATTTGTCCATGCAGTGCGAGCGCGGCCGCAAGAAGCCCCCGCAAGAATCCCGACCCTGAAACCCCGCGCGCGAGGTGCACCGGAGGGGACACCCGGAGCACCCTGAACGCAGCAGCTCCTGCAGCGGCCGCCGGAAGTCGCCGCGCAGCGCGCGCAGCGAAGAAACCCAGGACACCCTGCCGAAAAGCAGATTGTTTCTTGATGCGCGCCCCGACTGGCCGATTTACCCCCCTAGATGGAGATATAGGTCGTTCCCTTCGGGTTTCGAGGGGTGTATCCCCAACTGGGGGGGTGATTTGGTGGGGGTCTCGAAGGGGATGGGGATGGGGATGGGGATCGGTTAAACGATACCGACATACAGCCTAGGCCCAGACTCGGAGTCGGGGACCTCCTCAAGCGATACAGTCGGGGCGTTGACCTAAGGAACCCTAAATAAGGAACGAGGCCCCTTTCATCCACAAGTTGAACTTCGATTTCCCATGGGAAACCACAGGAAAACCCAAGGCAAGCTGTAGAACAATCAAGGACCACCGAGCCCCTCCCAAACGAGAAGGGTTCCTTCTTCAGGGCCCCGACTGTAGTGAAGTGCACGCGAACGCAAGCACAACTAACGCTTTTGAGCATCAGAGCGCCGAGCTGCGCACGCAGCGCCCGTCCTGCTCGCGGCGGGGTAAACGATACCGACATACAGCCTAGGCCCAGACTCGGAGTCGGGGACCTCCTCAAGCGATAGTGAAAGTGCACGCGAACGCAAGCACTGCGGGCAAAACTTTTGTCTATATCCACTGCAGTATGGAGTTTCGGGCTCCCTTCCCAAGATACCCGAGGCGCACTGGATATGGATAAATTTGCCCCCTAGAGGCTCGATGTTTATCCATATCCAGTACGCCTCGGCCTTGTGGCGCCGCTTCCAAAAAAGTCCAAAAGGCACTGGATAAGACATGAATCTTGTCCGCAAGCACAACTGACGCTTTTGAGCATCAAAACGCAGGGCTGCGCACGCAGCGCCCGTCCTGCTCACGGCTCTCCCGCAGCAGGCGCGCCTCCTCTGCTGCGTGCGCGGCCGCCCGCTCCTCGCGGGGGGGGATCGAGGGTCGAGGTGGGGAGGTCGACGAGGATGACTAGGGTAGGAGAGGCGGAGGGGAGGAGGAGGAGGAGGTGGAGGAGAGGGAGGGGGTGGGAGGAGGAGTCATGCAGGGAATAGAAAGGGAAAGAAAAAAAAAAGAAAGGAAGGAGAAAGAGGGAAATGGGCCAGGAGGAAGAGGTAGGAGGAGAGGGAGTAGAGAAGGGAGAGGGAGGCGGAGGAGGAGGGAGGGGGAGGTTGAGGAGGATCAGGGGAGGGAGGGGGGAGGCATTCTTAGGATGAGGAGTCGAGTCTGATGATCTGAGTAATTATTATATGACTGGTTATAATGCTGATGGAGGATGGGGATTGAAGATGAGGCTGATGATGCGTGTTCGGGGAGTGTACGTTGTGATTGTTATTGATGTGGAGGGAGGGGGAGGTGGAGGAGGGAGGGGGAGGAGCGGGGAGGAACTCACCAGAGTGATGCTTGCATGATCACCCACGCCAGGGAAAAAGCTCGACCTTGACGTTCGGGAGCTTCGGATGTCTCCCCCGACACATGTCCTTCCAGCTCTGAGCCGCGCCTTTGCTCTGAGGGGCTTCGGGGCAATCCTTAGAAGGATTCCTGACTTGCCCCCCCCCCCCCAGTGTAAGACGCCCCCAATGGTGTAAAAAACACTGCTGCGCGCATACAGCAGGGTGCCATCCGTGCTCGAGAAAACGACGAGATTGTGATGGTGTCGGACAATGGCCGGGACCCTCTCTGGTGGAGAGCCGCTGCATCCACTGCTCGGAAGCTTCTTCTCCCCACGGCTGGTCTGGTCGTCAACCACATATGCCACCTCCAAAAACTCAACAAAAATGCCACTCATGCGCATGACCAGGTTGCTTGATTCTCCGACCTAGGCCTGCAGCACGAGGGACGCCATTCAAATTTAGCCGTGGCCACTCAATGAAGGAGAACACGCGCCGCGAGGCGCAATTATCACAGCCCGCACAATCCTGATCTGATCATGAAATCTGTCAGTCTCAGCATGGTTTGGAGCAAGGTAGCGGCGGGCCCCCTCTTCGCAGCCAGTCCGCCTCATCAGTACCGATCTAGGGAACCGAACTCTATACACGGACACTTTTTTCTGGCCACGCACTGAAATTCGCGAACAGGACAGCGGATACTGGTATATACGGGATCCTGGTGTCTACATTCCTTGCTGTTTCCCCAGGAAACAAGTCCGCCGACCCTTGCGGCGTGTGTTGGGTGTCTGTCTGGTCCCGTCGACGGGGAACCTTCTTTCGTCCCCTCCTTCCCGTCCTCCTCTCCCGTCGGGGGAGAGAGAGAGAGAGAGAGAGAGAGAACCCTTCCTCATTCGGGGAACGGGTTCGCAGCTTGAGGGAATTCCGTCCTCATTAGGTCAAAGGGAAGCCCCTTCCCTTTGTCCCTTCCCCGGCGGGGGGGGGTTCAGGGGGGGGGGTTCAGATTCGCATCGCCTCTGGGGTTCCTCCTCTCCCACGCCTGTCCTTCTCCGGCGCGCCGGTCCTCCTCGGGTCCTCATCACCCCCAGGCCCCCAGGTGGGGAGTTCCAGGGGGGGGGGGAGGAGAGTGAGATACGCATCCGTCGCTAGGGGTCCTCCTCCCCCTCCCCTCCCCTCTCCCACGCCGGTCATCCTCCAGTCCTCCTCCCCGGGGGGGGGTGGGCCATGAAGGAGTCCTTTTTCCTCCCTCCTTTTCCTCCGCCTTTTCCTCCCTCCTCCTCCTCCTCCTCCTCCTCCTCCTCCTCCTCCTTCCCTCCTCACTCCTTCCTCCTCCTCATCACGATCACCATCATCACCATCATCATCATCATCACACATCATCAACATCATCATCATCATCATCATCAGTCATCATCATCATCATCATCATCATCATCATCATCATCATCATCATCATCATCATCATCATCATCATCATCATCATCATCATCATCATCATCATCATCATCATCATCTCCTCCTCCTCCTCCTCCTCCTCCTCCTCCTCCTCCTCCTCCTCCTGCCCCTCCTCCTCCTCCTCCTCCTCCTCGGTGATACTCGGTCATACAAAAGGCGCAAGTCGTAAGAAGCACAACGAGAGCCCAATCATCGCCAGTCGACAAGGGGTCGAAGGCGGTACGGACGAAATGACTCGTCGCATTTCTGCTCCAGAGAGCCCCATCCCGTGCCAACGGGTGGCGACTCATATCCAAGAAGCCGTAGATAACGGACCAAGGCTCCACCATGCCCTCATGGTGGAATGGGCCGACAAGTCAAAATTGCCAATAGTCTTCTGCAATCGGTGCGGGGGGTTTTCCTGCGCAGTGAAAGGGCCGAAGCTGCTGAAGCCTTGTCTCCACACCGTCTCGTCGGAGTTGCGGAAACTCAGACGGGGCAGGATACCAGGCACATCTGATTATTTTTCGAATCCAGCGCCCATTTGAACATTTTCGCGCAACGAATGCGAGAGCCGAGTTTCGTGACATTTTCGTTGCGTCAACATGGGTGCACGAGGCAGGTAACAGACACCTGCTACACCATTCCTTCCTCCTCCCTTCTCTTGTCCCTGTCAGCGCAGCTGTATTTCCAGCAGCTGGGAACTCCAGCAGCTGAGGATAGGATAATACAGGGCGGGGGGGTAGATGGGGGTATTTCTGGGGTTGCATGCTCAACATGTTACTTAAGACCAATCTTTCCTTCTGTGCTATTCGCTACACAACGGCAGAGGGGCAGACAAGCTGCACTCTGCACAAATCTGTCATTTCGGGTGCATAAGTTCATCCGTGAAAACGGAACCGCTGCACACACACACACACACACACCCGGACAGCACGCGACGGGCAGGGTTGTCCGACGGACGTGGCCGAGGGCACCGGATACTTTGTGCACGCGCTCAGAGTTCCCCTCCACTGGAGACGCTTCTCCACTTCAATATCTTCCTTCCTCTCCGATCATCCTCCTCCTCCTGCCCCTCCTCCTCCTTCTCCTTCTCCTCCCCATCCTGGTCGTCGCCGATGTCTTTCAGGGTCGGCGACACCGGCCGTTAGGCCTTCACAATAAAAAAGGTATACACCACACCACCCCGACGTCGTCCCCGACCCTCGAAAAAATCCGGGGCTTGAAATTGAAACACAGGCCGCCACTGGTAATGCATATGTTCCAGCTTCCGACTATCTTGTGAAATCGCTCAACACCGACAAGGCCCTCGTCCGAAGCGTGAGCTCTGAGCTTGTGGACTCTGGTGTAGAGAGAACTGGCCATACCGAGCGGAGTCCAGGGGAGGCGGAGGAGGAGGAGGAGGAGGAGGAGGAGGACGAGGAGGGTGGGCAGAACGAAGGGGAAGACACTGGCGTCTTGGTGTGGGCGGGCGGCGCCCGCGAACCCAGACGTGCGACGTCCTGATTGTTTTCGCTACGCCGTCTCCTTGGCGGCGCGCGTGAGGGAGCAGGGGGAGGGGGGAAGGCTTCTTAGAGGGCGCTGGCCCCGCATCTACGGATAAGGCCTGCTTTCTCAGAGGGACAACGGTGTTTCTGAGAAACCTTCCCCCCTCCCCCGACCCCCTTGGCGCGTGGCCGAAGAAACCCCGACCCTTTCCCCAGGACTGGCTCCTCATTCCGAGCCTTTTCTGGACGGCCCCGAGGCCCAGTAAAGGCCCCTGGAAGCCGAAGGTTGCCGAAACCCTGCCGTCGTGATTTTGTCACGACGCGAGCACGTCTGGGATCTGAGGCTCCGCAAAGTTTGGCGCGGTCGGCTAATTTCGGCCTCCAGGGGCCCTTACAGGGCCCAGCGACAATCAACAAAAAAGACTCCCCAGCAGGACGGCTCGTCCAACGGCGAATGATGAAACGCTCTGGAGGACTCTTCCCCCGGCAAGGGACTTTACCTATTGCTTCCTTTTGGTGAAACGCGTCCGAAGCTCCCCAAGAAGTTCCGACAAGGCGTGAAACTTCATGAACTACCGGAAAACACTTACTTTTTCGCCCATGATGGCCGGCATGCTACTGGGGAGCGAGCCCAGCTAACCTGCGAGGTTGATGCTTTTATTTGGTTCTGAGGAAGCCTCAAGAATCCTGCAGCGTCACAGATGATTTGAACATAGTCTCAATAATCTCATAAATCTTTTAAGGAGCAGGCTCCTCATAGGCTCCAAAGAACTGTCAGGTGACTCCTCAGAGGAACACCTGGATAATGCAGGATCCACCACAATTCCTGCAATAAACCATGGGAATCCTGTGCACGAGTGGATCGCACTGCAGCGGTGGCAGCACGGGCATCACAGCTGGTAGTAGTGGTAGTGGTCGTGGTAGTGGTAATGGTCGTGGTCGTGGTCGTGGTAGTAGTACTGATAGTAAACGTAAGGCTCGTAGTAGTAGAAATAGTAGTAGTAGTAGTAGTAGTAGTAGTAGTAGTAGTAGTAGTAGTAGTAGTAGTAGTAGTAGTAGTAGTAGTAGTAGTAGTAGTAGTAGTAGTAGTAGTAGTAGTAGTAGTAGTAGTAGTAGTAGTAGTAGTAGTAGTAGTAACAGTAGCAGTAGCAGTAGCAGTAGCAGTAGTAGTAGTAGTAGTAGTAGTAGTAGTAGTAGTAGTAGTAGTAGTAGTAGTAGTAGTAGTAGTAGTAGTAGTATTAGTAGTATAAGTAGTAGTAGTAGTAGTAGTAGTAGTAGTAGTAGTAGTAGTAGTAGTAGTAGTAGTAGTAGTAGTAGTAGTAGTAGTAGTAGTAGTAGTAGTAGTAGCAGTATCAGTAGCAGTAGCAGTAGTAGTAGTAGTAGTAGTAGTAGTAGTAGTAGTAGTAGTAGCTGTAGCAGTAGTAGTAGTAGTAGTAGTAGTAGTAGTAGTAGTAGTAGTAGTAGTATAGTAGTAGTAGTAGTAGTAGTAATAGTAGTAGTAGTAGTAGTAGTCGTAGTCGTAGTCGTATCCGTAGTAGTAGTACTAGTAGTAGTAGTAGTAGTAGTAGTAGTAGTAGTAGTAGTAGTAGTAGTAGTAGTAGTAGTAGTAGTAGTA